ATTTTAGATTCGAGTTTTATAAATGACTTTTGTAGACGAAAGAATGGCAAGAAGGTCGATTCGACCTCTTTGTTTTCTAAGTAAAACGCTAAAAAAATAACGTTAAGAAGTAAACGAATGGAATTTTTATTATTAATTTTTTTTTTAAATTTAAAGTAATTTAAAGGGAGATTGATGGAATGTAAAACAATCGGTTAGTTATTCTTAATAAAAATTATTTTTGAGAATAAATTTGTAAAGTAGAGAGCGAGGCGAAAAATGCTGGAAGAATTAAATTATGTAAGAGGGGCGAATTGAAAAATGGCAACATTTTCGTATTGTTAATTAATTTCTCATCTGCAGCGAGTCAGTCAATAGCAAGTAATTAATTTTTAAGTCAAGAGAAGGAGAAGTCGAGAGCGATCCCTTCTAGAGGCTTGCCCTCGGGATAGTTTTGCCATCGTCGTGGTGCTAGTACCATCGACGAAGTAAGGCCCAGAACGTAGAAAAACCCCATTACAGACGATTGTCTAGCAGCATAACGGATCACCAGCTGTCCAGATGGGAACTCTGCGCGTTTATTTCTATCCAGCGATAATGGAAAAACTGGGGAAAAGAAGCGCAGGGGGGTGCGACGTTGCTGATGAAGACGTCTGTTTCATCTGCCAAGGTGTGGAAGGACCAGGTGAAAGGTGCTGGCGATATAACGATTTCTCACCCGTCCGAAGACTCGGGTCGTGATCTCTAACAGAATAACTAAAGCTGGTTTTTATATAGCGAGCTAGGAATTGAAATTGGGCAAAAGATATGGCTCTGCCTTATCTGGGCTTTGATTAATTGAAGTTGTTCCACCATCTATTTGTAACGCCGGCAAAATGATTAAGAACCTTGACTTTCCCATTTTGTTTTGTATTAAAGGGACGGGTTTCACTTTTAATCAGTTAGGTAATTAAAGGATGGAGATAGATGGTTGCTTTGTCCAATATCTTTCGTTGCTTTTCTATTCATTGAATGAAGTCAATCATTTACCATATTCCTACCAACAAAACCTTCATTTTCCGCTTTAACCTCTACAAATTTCTCCTAATATAGGCTAAATACTAATTTAACATCATTTCTTATAACTTTTTTAAAGAAAAAATAAGGAGACACAGTATAAATTTTCATATTTCCTATTAGAAAAATATTGTTTCCAGCGAAAAAGTCGAACCTATCGGGACAATAAGCTAAACATAGTGTTAAATTTCTCCGATAATTTAATATTTTACAGAAAATATAATTTAAGCATCGTTTATTAAGCATAAAACACACACAAAAAAGTAAGCAATTAGACGTAATTGAGAACGAATAATATAGATTAAAACCTATTTAGAAAGATTATTTTAAGAAATATTACTCAAATTTATGAATAATTTCAAAAAGTGTTAAGATAAATTTAATATTTTAAATAAAAAAATAATAATATAAATATCAATTAACGAGTGCCAAATATACAGTACAGTATTAAACCGAGTAAACAACTAACATAAGTATGAATAATACCTTAAAATTTATGATTAAAATCTACGAATTAATATATTACTGAAGAAAAAAGTAACAAGTATCAGTTAATCTATGTAAAATAAGCAAAGAAAATGCGTACAGAAAACGTGTTTAGGAAAGAACAACAAAAATTCAGACACACCTAACAAGTACTGTACTGTACAATTTAAAAAAAAAAAATGCGACTAAAATTTATGAAAAATTTGAAAATATATTAATAAAAATTTAATATTTTTAAATAAAAAATAACATAAATATCATTTACAAGACGTAAAACGTATTAAAAAAAGGAAGAATAATATGGGAAAGGTCTTGATTGTGTATAGCGCCCGAACTAGGAATGCAAATGATAAGGTGGAGTCACGCTTTTCTTCTATCCAATAGCGTGTCGTCGAACGAATAGACAAGTCCCACCCACATGTAATGTGCCAATCAATCAAGTGAATTGTCCATACTTATCGTCCAGACTAATAAATATGTGGTCAATTAATGGACAATGGATTTTTTCCTAAATATCAAATTTTAAAATAAAAAATTTATATAAATAAAACTTAAACATATTAATAAAGTAAATTACATATTTATTATTTGGTGATGATAATTTGAATCATATTTTTGATAGTCAAGCAAAATTCTTAAGCATATAAAAACTTAGTTTCTAGTGACTCTTTCATAATATCAAAGAGTTGCAATACTTTTCTTTTATTATTTTATATTATAAAAATGTGCCTTTTACTTTTTCAGCTATTATAACAACATGAGAAAATATTGGAATCTTGTCAAATTTGATCCTCCAAGATTTTTGCAAATCTGAATATTTTGATAGCCTGTGAACAAAATAAATAAATAATAAAACAAGTAGTTATTTGTTGTGACATTGTCACAATACTAGGCTGCCATTTTTAATCATATTTTTAATAATTTTTTAATTTAAAATATATTCTCGCCACCACAAATTTGCAGTGTCTTGTTCCTGTATATCATACTTTTCCATTTGCAACAGAGTTGTGCTGGTCATCTATCTAACTTCTTTCAGGAGAGAAATTTTTGAATTGAAATAACATGACTTCCAGTTTGCACTAGAAGTTCATATATAGTTAATTGGGGCTTCCCTAAGGTTTATATACCTGGTCTCGTCTTTCATCTATATAACTCCATTCTCAAGATTAAGGAAGACAGACAGATGGACAACAGTAGGAATTTATAGGCCACAAAAAAAATAAAATAAACAAATAAAATGTGGGAATAAACTCTCTCTGTGTATATTGTATACATACATATATATATGTGTGTGTGTGTACATCTACAGTAGAACCTCCATTATTTGGATTTTTGATTATCCGGATTGTTCAAAATAAACAAAAATTTTACGAATTTGCTGATTTGCACTTGGCGAATTACGACACTTTTTATGTACGTGATGGAATGAATAACTTTTTTGTTTCAACAACGTCTCACCCAGCACAGTGGTCATAAACTCTTAATATATTTTACGTAGTAATAAAAATATAACTTGACATACGTATTTATAAATAATTTATATTCAAATTACATCATTTCTATGACCAAGGGCAGTGTAAGGCATGGACGACGTGGGCCACCGCCTATGCCTCGCAGTCCAAAGGGCCTCGTGCCTCGAAGGTTTATGCATTACTTAAAAGCCGCAAACGCGACGAAAAAATTTTACTCGTCATAAAACAATAAATAGTTTGTCAAATTTTTATTCATAAAAATGCAATTTCAACTGCTTTTTATTTTATAAAATCCGTCTTCTTGCGCCACCAGAGGGCCTTTTAAACAATAGGTAGTCTGTTAGCATTGGTCAGTAGTAGTCCAAATTCAATATGAACGTTTCTTTCTTGAAAATTTGATCACGATTTAAATACAGTATTTACTTTTAATATTACCGATATGTCATCGAAAAGAAAACGTGTTGTATTATCATTAAAAGACAAATTAAAGTATTTGTTTCGATTATCCAGATTTTTCCTTATCCGGACTACCTTCAGCCCCAATTAGTCCGGATAATCGAGGTTCTACTGTATTTTGTTTAATATCTCAGGATGGGGTAAAAATAAACAAAATTTGGCATGATAACTTGTATATATGAGGCATCAATCTGATTAAATTTTGATGTTTAAAGGTTAAGGAGTTGGAGAGAGGATGGTTGATGTCATATCTCAAATGGGATCAGACTTAAAAATTTTACTGATTATTGACATTAAAAAACTCAACTCCACCCTAAAATTAAGTCTTTTGTCTTTTTATAATAATTAATAATATTGTGGTTAATGTGCTTCTATCTAGCTGTTATTTGGGGAACTAAATGTCTACCTCGAAAGGGATCATAGAGCGAGAGAACGTCCAAATCGCTCTCTTTGTTTGGAAGCAAGACACGTTTTTCATGTTTCAGCAATACTTCATCTTATTTTATGCCTGCTAAAAAGTTTCTACAAAGTAAGTATCATTGCAAACTTTTACATTACCTTTTAGATGAAGCTATTATGGTATTCGAAGTAACCTTTAATTAAGACTGTAATTGTTTAGTTTTGAAATGAAGTTTACCTGTGTTTGCAGTCAGCATGAAAAGTGTACTTTGGGAGCAAGATGGGGTACCCAGCTAGCCCCAGGTTGACCATGAATATGGCCTATAAATCCAGAAGTATTTTTGGAGGCAGACTTTATTGTTGCAGAGACAACAAACAGGCCCCTTCAGCAAGGGTAGGCCTAACAAGAAACAAAAGACAAATCACACAGAATGCCTCTATTATGGAAGGTTAAGCTATACTCTGTATCTACAGAGAGTTAGGCTAAATGTAGCTGTCGTGATAAATGGGTGCACTGTTCTTGTGCCAACATTGAAGAAAACGACAGTTTAACCATATTAATTTGTCCTTCTTGTATATAAAAATAATATCCCCATCTTACCCCATGGGTGGGGCAAGATGGTGCATTTACATATAATTTTAAAATATTAAATTTTCTTGATTTTAAAAACGTTTTTCAAAAATTAAATTTTTTATTATATATTACCATATGTTGTAGTTGCTGAGAATAAAAAAATTATTGTTCTCATCAAAGTAGTTGCCATCTTATGACTTTTCAAATCTTAACGTTCTCATCTTGCCCCACCTTCCCCTATAGGGGCAAGACACTACTAATTTGAGGTGGAGAGCATATATTTTAAATTTAAAAAATTATTAAAAATTTCAGCCCAGCATTGTGACGATGTCACAATAAATAATTGCTCGTTCTTTTTAAACCCTTTCTGCCCTTTGAGTACTTTTTATCAAGCCAATCACAGGTTCGATCGTGCCTACAATTGGAAGTCCGAAATATCCAGGAATAGATTTTCCATTTAATAGATTTATTTTATGAAACATTTCAAATTTAATAACCAAAACTAATCAATGAAACATTAATGTATATATTAACAAAAATTTATAAAAATACAAGTTTGAGATGAATTTAAACATAAAAAAAAAAAAAACATTTAATTCATTGAATACTACACATGAATAAATACGAAATTAGAAATACATCGTAGTTCAATTCTTGAAGAATTGAATTATGCTACATATTATTCAGTTGGTTAAAAATGCTTATAGATATGCAAAATACTTATTTTCTGTTTTTATAAAATTTTACTTTTATTCCTGGGTTATAGTCATTTGGATTGGAAGCATTTTTGGATAAGTATATGTTTTTCTTATTGGAGTAGTACCTGAAAAGATAATTTTAACAATTAAACAATTTACAAAATTATAATTAAAAAAATACAGAAATATTTAATTTTATAGTAATGTTAGATAAAACTTTAAATATACCTGTAGGAATGTATTTTTTAAAATTTTCCAAACAATTTCCAATATTGTTTTCAAACGATTTTATAACAGACACAGCATTTTCTACTTGTAAATTATTTTTATTTTTTATGTCTTGAAGAATACTGAATTGGGAATTGACGTGATTTGTTTGCAATTCTTTCTGTACATGTAACATTTTGTTATAATCATCATCCACTTTATTTGAAATATTGTATGCTTCCTAAAAATATATAATTTATCATAATTAAATTAAAAAATAATAAAATTATCAAATTATAAAACTTACATTTATTTCAGCTTGAGTTTGTCTCAGTTCAAATGCTGATACTTTGGAGTATTCGTTCACAGAATTTTTCAATTGTTCTACATTTTCATTTAAGTCCTTATATAAAGAAACAGTATGAATAAAGCAATAAAATCATTAATTTCTTTCTAGCTGCATATACAATATTTAATTTAGTAGTTTTTCTTTATTAGTTTTCATGAGAAAGTTATTGAATTAATATATGTAAATTGAAAAATATTTAACAACTTTGAATATAATCATTGTCTTTAATGAGACATTCCATTTATCTTCATTGAAAAAAACTTATCAAATGAACAATTCAGTCATATTCATATAAAAAAATTTGTTAATGTTTAGATTGTCCTACATTGTGTGTAGAAATTAGCATTTTATTCCTTTTACTTTTTAAAATATTCACATTTGATTTTATATAAATTTTATTTCTACTCTTTTAAACCATTTGATATTGATTAAATAAATATTTTGCAGTCAATATCAACATTTTACAATATGTTACATATCATGGAAAAAATTTTAAACTTATTCTAAATAATAAATAGTTATTAATAATGAAACTTTTATTGTATTAGAACAAAATTAAATTACTTAATTTTTATAATGTCCATTAAACTACTTACAATTTCCGTTTTTGAAGTTAAATTCTTAATATTTTCCTTAAGAAGCTCATTTTGCATAAAACCTATCTTAGAAACTTCTGTAACCTAGTAAATCATATTTGAATTTAAAAACTTTATGTGAAATTTAAATAAAAGTATTATATGTACTGTGAACCAACCTGTTGCATTTTATTATCAATTTCCTCATGCCAAGAATTAATAGATGATTTAAATGAATTTTCTAAAGCAGCTGCAGATTGCTTCAAGTTTACAGAATTGCTATAAATTATATAGAAGTTAAAATCAAATTATTTTTTAAAATTCAAAATTAATTATCAGCAAAATACCTTAATAAAACTGTTTTATTTTTTTCTAATAGTAGTTTGACTTGACGTATTTTTTCAGNTTTAAAAAAATCGACATTAATAAACAAATTTTATACCTAAAATGTTACTTAAAATCAAATTTTATACCTAAAATGTTACTTAAAATCAAATTTTATACCTAAAATGTTACTTAAAATCAAATTTTATACCTAATATAAAGATTAATAAGCGAAATCCAAATCCGAAACAGAGCTTAATGGCAATATTTTAGATTCAAAATTCAGATTTATAAAAGAATTTAGACTCAAAATAGTACTTAAAAATCAAATTTTAAGCTTATTGTATAGAATTAGAAAAGAAAATTCGCACGTTAAATAACGAACAACAGAAGTGAAATTTAAGACCAAATATCAGCGACTTTCGTATTGTAAAATGCACTCTAAACGACATCAATAAGTTCGAATATTTAGAAAAATATAAAAAAAAATGTATATATACTATAGTAATATAAAAGTATAACAAATAACGATCGCTAAAGCGTGAACTATTATATTTTTCAAAGGGAGTTCGAATCGAAAACAATAACTCAACAGCGAGAACAGAGAAAGAAAGAAGGAATAAAAAATAAAAAAATAAAATAAAGAAAACGGAAAAAGGAAATACGGTTTTTTTCATCGAAGACAATCAATTATGTTGCAGGCACCAAAAAATTTTTCGTTTCTGGCTACAACGTATTGATAGACAATTGAAAGCGGGTTGAAGATTGAGTTTTAAGCAAAGAACAGTACACTTTGCAACCCGCCTACGAACTGCTGTTGCGGATTATACACGACATCAACGTCGACACGACATGTATCGTGACAGCAACGTTTCGATCTGTCGTTTCAGAACTGCAAAAGCGATTTTTTTGAACTTTCTTGTATCTTCTAGAAAAGTTTATCGATTTCACAAAGGACCTGTCATGTGCGTGATTTTCATTCTTTAACAAAACTCCCGGAGAAGAATGGATCTCGCCAACTTATACGGATGAAAAAGTGAAAAAAGATGTAATCGGACCGCTTCTTCTTCTTCATTTTTTTGAATATTTTTATCTAAACAAAAAAAAAATCCACACGACTAACGCGTTAGATCAAACTAATACTACCTTTAAGCTACTAAGGAATTGTTTCTGTATCAATTCGAAACACTTTCTTTATAATTAAATTCTGGAACAAACATGGCGGAATCTTAATTAGATCTCTAAGAAAAAAAAAAAAAAAAACAATTTTCTATTACACAATTTAGTTACGTTGTTAATAATAGGTTTTACCTTATTTAGTTTTCAAACGGGTATTAAAATAGTCGACATACTTTTGTGTATTATAATAATTGACAATGGAACAAAGAAAAAAAAAACACTTTCGAAAAACATCTATTGATATATACTGAGCTACCGAGTGTTATTATTGTTAATTTGCTGGGTTTTTTTCTAGTCTTACACTTAAATAAGACGGTGCATGTGCCTCCAGGCTTACATTTCGTCATTTCGTGCATCAATATTTAATTTAAGAGCCACTCGCCAAGTTTTAATTACCTATTAATAAAAAATTATGACAACGAAATAACTTGGCGTTTGTAATTTTAACAACGGTAATCATAATCTTTTTATTTTTGTATTTGACTAAATACTCTTTAAAATTTTATTTCGAATATTAATTAGAATAAAGAAAATATTTTAAAGAAATTAGGAGGAGGACCACCCAACGAGCTTTAACAATTTTCTTAGTTCCTCATTCCGGTAGCATTTTGGAAGTAAAAATGTCTGCCTTTTTCGCGCTGCTTAACTTATGTCATCTGTTGCAATTTGTAGAAGAGCGGGGTGGAAGTATCCAAGGTTGTATCGAGTATAGAAGTCTGTAGGACCAGCCACCTGATAACAATGATTAGAGGATGCGCTCAGCTTAGAATTACCATCATTAGAGGATAGACGGTTGGGCTCCCCGCCGCTCATCCAAGGTAAACATTACATATGGTAATTCGACGGATTGTCGTTTAATAGGCCTTTTGCTTGTTTACTTTGACTCCCCAACCTCTTTAATAAATACGTAGCTATAATGCTACTAAGGGGGATGCTTACCGATATCCCCCGAGGCCCCGCAAAATGACATCATCATTCATGGTACCTCCCAGGCCAAGATATTTTCTCCCGATCACCTGTACTTAGTCGAGGCTATCCATCAACTTCCTTACGTCTACGCCATGTTTATTAATACTTTCCGGACGAATTGGTCGTCCGAGGAGCTATATGAGAAAACGCAGAAAAGAAAGAAGAAGCCCGATTTCTCACGCTCCATTAAAACCACGTAAAGTGCGAGAGATAAGATAATTTACGAGTGTTGTAAAGGTTGGGGGTTTGGTACCAAATCGAATTTTCGTTCGGGTTCTAAAGATAAATGAGACACAAAACGGGATTAAGTTGTTTGGTCGATAAGATGTGACGAAGTGAAGAAAAGCACCGGACGATTAGTAAGTGGACAAGATAGCGAGCGTGCCTCCCTGTGGTCTGGATTCGTCGTTATCGACTATTAAGTTTTGAAGTCACGGCTCTCCTCCCTACGCATCGCTGTCCTTTCTGGTGATTTATAGGAAGACGGCACGGCACCCAGTTAATTTAGTCATCGAAAAGAAGGACGATTAGCAAAGCTCCTTAAATCGCATTAAAACATCATTAGGCAGTGCGACAGTACCTAGGGTCGTCGACTATCAATTCTCTATCAATTCCTTAGACGAAAAGGACAAAACGGATGTTTGCCCGTAAGAGATTACTAGGGGCTTTGCACAACGATTGCCCATTAGTTACAAACGATGTCTTATCTTGATTCTGTACTTAACATTCTTTTAATATGTCACCTCGTTCGCGATACTGTAAATTGTACGATATGGATGCGGTTCCGCATCCCTTTTAATGTTGCTCCTCTTCTCGTCTACCTTACCGGACTCCAATAACTTTTCTATTTTAAATTATATCTCCTTTACCACAATATTTCTAATTCGCCCCAAATCTTCCAAATGTCCGCATTTTTCAAACTCGTAATTTAGCTCTCATACACGCTTTTCGTATAGAAAATTGCGTATTTACAAATGTAAAATGTTTTATTTTAAATTTTATATTAATATTATATGATCTTTTAGGTTTCGGGCAATTCAGACGAAGAAGACTGGAGTCGGTAGTAAGTTATACTATAGACATATCGATATATTGCTTAAAATTCTTGCTAAATTAAAATGTTTTTATTTAATTTTATAAATTTTAGAATTAATTGCAAGCTTTTAAAAAATAATATATATATATATTTTTTTCATACGTCAAATACTACAGCGCTGAGTATACAGTACTCGTAATATCACAAAAATATAACTCAACCATTATAAAAGCCGACATTAAAGGTTTTAATTTAAAAACGTGACAAATTATTAAAAACTATATAAAAACTTTAGTCCAGACATTATATTAAAACCAATATAAGATCATAATTTAATATTATTTAATAAATCTAACATTATAAAGTTATTTTGTGAAGATCCTAACTAATTTATTAATGTTAAATAGAGGACGATCAAATTTATTAAATTAATTAAATCTCGATAAAAATTTTAAATAATAACAAAATTTAATATTTTTAAAAAATGGCAACCATGCTATATTTCGATGGCAACACTTTAATAAATTAATTTTAAATAAAACGACGAATCTAAGCAATGTTGCCACAATCCGTTTAAAAAGTAATAACAATTAATTTTTTTTAGAATAAAAATATCGTCAAAAATATATTTTCGGGTAAACTAATAATTAAAAATTATTTTTTAAAATAAAAATTATAATATTATTTGTATATCAAAAAATTTAATTTCGTAGTAAATTCAATTTATCTGTATCGAAATGGCAACACTGTTAAAGCTATTAGATAATGGCTGTTAGTTGGTGATTAGTTAAGTAATGAATAACAGCAACAGTTTGTTATTTACAAAGCCACAATTCATTATTTAACTCAGTTATCACTTATGAATATCCTTTTACAGGCCATTCGTTATTACGAGTAAGTAGACAGATTATTTAATTAACACTCGCTATTACGATATTTAACCACGTGGCTATTAGTGGCCACGTGGTATACGTAGGCCTCACAATAACGAATGAATAGCCTAAACCGGCTATTCATTCTTTATTGCGAGGTAGTAGTAGTAGTAATAGTATTTAACACATTGTTCACTCTATCGCTAATGGCAGCCAAATTATATGATTAACGCAACTATTCACTCGTTATTACGAACGATAGTTAATCGGCTTTCGTTATAACGAGATGTAATCTTATTATTTATTCGTTATTTAACGTGGTTGCTTATTCTTCAATACCAATAGCAGCCAGGTTATTTAACTAATGCGGCTATTCAATCGTTATTACGAGTGATGCAGTCGTATAACGCATATGCACTCGCTATTGCGATATATCTATGTTAAATACACGTATTTACCCAATTTTAATGGTAACTTTAGAAATTATACAATCATATAACCCAAAATATTAAAGTTAGAACGATTGAATAGATCATAAACAAGATATAGGGGGACCACTTATATATTACACATGTTTTGGCCTATGGGAGTATGTCCTGCATTCGAAATTGGAGATGAGAATCTACATCTCTGCAGACTGATAAGGTAATTACATAGCTTATTTTAAGAATATATTTGCAAAACATTCGATCAGATTCGTAGTACTATTGAATTAGACAGGCAATGATATATAAAATTGAATATAGAGTCGAACCTAGAGCCACAGGTTAGATCTAGAGCTGTGGATCTATACGATAAACTAATAATTAGAAACAGGGTTGTTGTACTTCAAGTGACTTTGAGGAGTTTTGGCCTGGGGTTAAATAACCGAAAGTGATCATTAGGTGATTTGTATCGACGCCTGTGGGATTAATAGGATAGATCTTAGAAATTCATTATGGAAATAAATAAAAAAAAAACACGAGATAAATCTACACTTTTTAATCGTTTAATCTTATTAAAGATATATTTTTTTTAATATATTTATAGATTTTTATAGATGTTTATTGCTTATCGACATCTAGATTTTGGTTTTTATTTTCGGTTATTTTCTATCAACTACTGATTAAATTAATTATCAAAACGGCTTTTATTTTGATCTGTCGGCTTTTATGATTCGTTACTTTCGTGCTTATTTATTAAAACTTAGATTTTAGCGAATAAAAGGTGTTTTAAATAGGCTGATAATACTTCTTACTTCTCGACGAGACCCGTAAATGTAAGCTTTTCAACAAGGCCTACATTTGTTCTTATGTTTCTAGATTTGGCTCGAAAAGAATAGACCAGAAGCTTCGGTTTCATATAGATTCCAATGAATTTCAAAGGATAATTCCTAAACATAAATCAAGTGTAAAAGGCTCGATGTATTCAAACGACGGAAATCCTCGTCTATTGATAATGCCTACACGTCGAGGGCCTACTGTCTGTCAATGCGTATACTGTATGTAAAGTATCAAATAATTATAATGATCCTATAGCGTAAGAAGGTCCGTACAGTTTTAAAATAATATAAAAGTTCATATTGCCTACAAAATCTACGTATATTCAAATGAATATTAAGTGGAATCGAAGTTAGAATTAATTCAATTATCGTAATTCATTCGAATTGATAGAATCTAAATACATTTTTTAAGGTATTAAACACAAATTTCGAGTTATAACTCTTCCTTTTTACAAAATTTAGCAACTCAAAGTTGAATAATGATAAAATCGCATGCGAGACAATATTAATAGTTTCCTACGAAAGTTTATTAATTAAATATTTAATAAAAGAATGGCAAGAAACTAAATCTATTCGCTTGTAAGAAGAAGAAGAAACCGAAGATCTTATCCTGTTTTAGAATTAAATTTCATTCGGGATTTTTTTGTTTTTTAAGAATCGGTTCGAATTATGCGATTCTTTAACGATTAAACTAACAAAAATCATGTTATAAATCTAGAAATTGAATGTATTTTTAAATTTTATTTATAGATTTTATTGTCTTATTCACTTCTCAAAATGGACTGAAATCGCAAAAGTGTAAAAATTCACACTTTAGAGGTAAATTTCGTTCGTTTTATTTAGATAAAAACAGCTCCTATTTTAAAAATCTATAAAATAATGTATATAATTTAATATTTTATTATAAATTCTCTTAAATTTTATCCTTAGAATTGAGAGAATGTCGTCACTTCTAAAAGACTAACGTTTTAGACCTTACTGAAATGTCTGCCATGTTTTATAATATACAGGTAAGATTTAAGTAAATTTTTAGAAACGAATAGTTTATTTTAAATTATTAAAACTAATTGAAATTTCTTAATTATATAACTCGTGAAATTTAATGTATTTTTTTTATCATAAATTCTTTTAAATTTCTCATTTTCGAGATGGTAGAAACCGAATTTAATCGCTTGTAAAAAGACAATGCTTCTTAAAACTGTAGGCTAAATCGATCGAAATTTTATACAGTATAATTTAAAGAATTCTTCTTAAATTTGGTGGCCTGAATTCCCAGATTACCTTTCTAAAAAGACGTCAGAGTAATAGCTACTACTGGCTTCTGGACTATCCGAACGAATGCCTCAGAGCTATATATATATATATATATATATAATTCATAAAATTGAATATTTTATAATAAAATTCTATATAAGAATTGGTACTTTTCTTTTTTTCAAACAAGGCGAGAATGGGGTGCGATTAAAGCCGTCGTCATATCTTGTAAAGGCGATAGGATTATCGTCGTTTTGTTGCTTAGAAAACGGAGAATAGGGCATAATCCTATTAATTCCGAACACGACTAGCGTTTAAAATTCCGTCGGGGGATGGGAAAGTTCATTGCTATCAAAGATGGATGACCAAATATCCCGCCACTGTTTGCCAAAGCCACTGATAGGGCGTTGGCAGTGACACTGTCTAATATAATGACGGTGATTATCAACTATTGTGGTATCGGTCGACGATCGCGACGGCACAAGAAACCTTGGCAAATTTATATCTATAAGTGGATGTGATCATCAACCCGTGTTTTAACTTCATTTTACTTATCCAGATTTATGATACACCGGACTCAAATTTCGCTCTGTCATTTCGAATTTTACCAGTTGATTAATACTTTGGGCTAATTTATTATTTGATGCCAACGTTGTAATTTCTTAGAAGCGTCGTTATTATATATATTTTAAGCCACCGATAATAGATTGTGATTAATAAATGGCCCCGCCGATATTTCCGAGAAAAAAAACGAGTGTTTTGTTTGTTTAGTAACGGCAATTTTATACGCGGCACCCTTACTTTATGCGCGATTATTTGATGATTATCTACAAAAGAAATTCGAACGTGTGACGCTGGATTAAATTAACCGAAGGGCACTTCCCACGAAGGGATTCTCCCTTTACGAGTTCGTCCTATTATACTGTTAACAGATCGTGAAAGGTTTGGCAAAGTATAAAGAATACTAAGAGATAGTTCTGTCCTGGCGCACGACCGACACGTGTCCTAACACGTGCTCGTCGATACTTAGTTTTGTAATAGGAAATGCCGCTACTAATCCGCCACGTGACCAAAATATAGGAACCCCGGATATAAATTTCTCGAACGCGTCGACGTTTCTCTACGGATTTCTTATTAATCCGTTTCGAAAAATACACTGTGGGAAACACCGCGTTAAGATTCAAAATTCCACGCTCACGAGTTTCAAATTCGAAGATTAATTAATAAATTTATGGGATTGGTTTCTATCGAAATCTGTTCTGTGACGAATTTTGCATCTGTCAAACTATTAGGACGGGTCTGAATAAGAGAAGCAGAAGGACGCAAGGACAATCTCCGCATCGAGCTACGACTCCTGTGGGAGTTGTTGGCAGGGAGTTGGATTGTTCCCTTATGACCTAGTCCAACGCCTAGTTTGAAAAATTACACAATGGAACTATTAAATAAGGCAGGATTTTCGATACCCTCTTTCTATCCAATTGTCGTTATGGGCCCGCTTATTTAACATAGCCTTTGAATCGGACAATGGGCCGATTGAGTTTTGGGCAATTGGATAACGTCGGAGAACTAATCTATTTGGAAATGTTTTTAGACCAGCGAGCACCATTATTTATTGGAATTGTATTTGTAGGACTTCCCACAAATACGCTGCAACGGTAGTCATTTGAAGACTGACCGGGACTGTGTTTAAGGGTCGATTTAGTTTCTTTGCTTCATTTCGTTTCTCTTCATCATTATATCATTTTGGGTGGTATCTCACAGGAAAATAAAAAAGAAATTCCCGAACGAACTAGGCAAACTAATTGTTATAACCTTGTACTAACAGGAAATTCCCATTTTTACATCCGGTCCTTGGTAGAATTCTATCTCGAAGGGACGGATTTAATTTTCTTAAAATTCTACGTCTGTCGACAGTTTATAGATCAGTCGATTAATAGCATTAATTTCAACTTAACGTATTCGCAAAAGTATGTCGGTTTATAAAAGACGCGTGTGTATGAGTGTGTGTGTGTGTGTGCAGTCGACCAACTGTAAAATCTCCTCCCCAAGAAGCATAAATTAGCCTTATTTCTCGAACTGATGGGGAAAACAGTGGCAGGTCGAGAATGCTCGGGGGATCGACCATTAGCTACACTTACGTAGAGGCACGTGTTTGCAACGAACGTGGAGAGTAGACATTAAAAGAGCAAGAGACCGAGGACCCTTGGGATGTGAATCGCACGCCCTACACTGCTGTCCATTAGCCTGCCACAACGACTCTGGGGGAGATGGCGTGCATATATTTTCTAGCCCAGTGGTTACGCTTTCACGCACCACATGCGCTACTTTGCCACCGCCTGTACGTGGACAGATGGCTGCGAGAGTCGGGTGTCGCAGAAGCTGTTGGATTCGAGTAGTCGAGGAACTTAAATCCTATTATACGAGGCGTCAAACGCTATTCTTCAAACGTGCAAACTACCCTGCAAGAACGCTGCAAAGCGCTCCTCTACCGTTTGGCTTAAAAATGTTTTAAAAGAGTTATCCGACCGAAGAGGGTAGAGGTGAAGCGGACTTATAAAAATCGAGAAAAATCCAGTTATTTTTTTCGTTTTAAACAATGGCGTACGCGGGATTACTCGTAATACCGGAGACCATTTTTTTTTTCTTTTTGCGTGTGTCTTTCTTTACCAATCGGGTTTAGAGGCGGTGACAAGTCTACCGGGATTATGGGATGTGACCAAAGTACGTGGACATCATGCTAAAGGCCCTAGGTTGTTAGGGAACGGCGGGAGCATTCCGCGTGCCACGAAAAGGGGAACATTATCCCGAATGCGGAGATTAAACGAGATAACAATCGCACTCTAGTCTCGGGCAAAATATAACGGCTCTACTAACGGGCGCTTTACTCGAATGCTGATAAGGTAGCGACACGGTGCGGCGAGAAATGGAAGCATCACGTGATAGCAAATGCGTGATTTATGAGGGGATGTTGCAGCGGAGTAGGGTGGCTGCATGTCTTGGAAGCGACGCGTCATTACTCGTCTTTTGTAAAGGAGTCACGATCGAACCTGTACACTTCTGTCCATCCATATGTATGAAAGATTTTCTTTTTCCTTTCAATGGTCCAAGCCTAACAAATCTAATTATGATGGACGAATGTCATTGTCAGAGGGATGGCTAATACCTCCTCGTGCTTTGCTAGGGATTATCGTGCCACCAATAACAGAGTGATTGATACTATATTGTGGTTGTAGGCGGGAGTACAGTTGATTCCATTCATCGACGGACATATTTGTCATGGGGAATAAATTTTTATCGCGCCGTTTTTTTTAGATGAATGTGTGTTGAATCATTTGCATACATTTTGATCGAGATGCGCCTATAAATGTTTATGGATTAACTAAGACGCTTTAAAACATCGTCAACAGATTTACGACTTTACTCAATTTTTTCTTTTTTTAATCTTTTCCAACAAAAAAAATATAAAATCTTAGCCAAGTTTATTTTCTTTTTTTTACTTCTATCAAATTTTGAATATTTCTTTTTCAATTTCGAACCGCCTAACCAGACGGTGGCTTCTACCGTCGACTGCACCAAAACTGTTAAATGATATGTAAAACTTTATAATCTGGCCCATTTCTTTTTTTTGGAATAAAGAAAATTTCCACGTCCAATCTAAAAAAATAACCAATAATTCAATGTTTAACAATTTATCGAGATTTTAATGCAGATGCTACCGAGTCGCGGCTTCGTTTAACAGAGATAATTTCCATTTTTCTTTCCTTGTTTTTTTTTTAATTGAGGATTTTTTTTAAAAAAATAATTCGACTTTCAGAATTATTTTTAAAAACATTTATTTAAAAGATAATTTTATGCTTTTAAACGTTTGTTAGCCACGTATTTGTGTCGTAATCGAATCAATTTGTTCTTCTTTCGTACGATTCTTGTCGAATTTTATAGCATTTTTCGCGTATAATTAATTTTAAACAGGTTCGAAACTACATTTCTTTCAACTTATTTGCAGGAGTACATTTTTTGCATACAATTTATGTAATAATTCATTATTTACAGTCGACCACCCCCTATAACACTGTTGATTTTTCCGTTTTATATGAATTCCATGTTGTACGAGTCACTTAGATTTTACAAATACGTGTGCCGAGCTGTGAACGGCTTACATATTTGTAAAATCTAAGTGACTCGTACAACGTGGAATTCATATAAAACGGGAAAATCAACAATGTTATAGGGAGTCGACTGTACTTTAATATTCCGAATTCTATTCTATAATTTTATTATTTTATTTTTAAATGTTGCCAAAGAAACTAATTTAAAAAATTCTACTATAATTTCTTCTGTTTTTAGTTTTCAAATGAAATTTATATTGATATATCTATGGATGTGTTAAGAAATTTTTAAAATGATCTTCGTTTATCAGTTTTTAAAAAGTACAGCAATGTTATATAATCGATACGATTCGTTAATTTTGAATATTTTCAAAATTATCTGCTCGTCCAATCAATTTCAAGTAAGTTCTTACGAACGTTCGTTATTTAACGAACGTGCTGCGTTTCGTATTGGTAAAACTTAGCCTACTTCGCCCATCGCTTTTATCGCGGGGTCGGGAACCATTTTATAGGTAAGATCGTCGGTAAGTAAAGTTTAGTGATGAAATTGTCATTCACTTATTCCAAAAGTATTTATGTATGCGCGCTTATCATTCGTTGTCGATGAGCAGCTGCACGGAAAAGAGCGAACAAGCGACTAACAAATGACGAGCGTGGTAGTGACAGGAGGTAGCAGAGCGTGTTTACAAAGATGGACTAGATGCTCATGGCCAGAACAGTGATGACTTAATCAATAGAGTTGTTGATTGATACATGCCGTGCTCATGCTGATATTCTCCTCTCCAGGTGTTATTGTTTTGATGTGATTGAAACAGAGACGATCCAGTTTGCAACTAAGCACCCCGCTAATGTTACACTCGTCTTTTTTCGCCTCCCGAAATGATGTCTTTTAAGTAATTTACTCCTGCAAAATGGATCCTATCGGCATAAAGTGTATTTAAAAGCATAAAAATCTTCAAAAAATACGTTC